ATTGGCGCATAAAACAGTGAATCGCGCGTTAAAGCAAATATCGAATTTATTTGTCGATTTGCGTAGTCATAAAATATATCGATCGATATTAATAACATTGACAGATTCTCTTAACGATCGCATAATAATAGGTTGGGGAGGGAGTGAAATCGGATGTAAATTCGTTATTGTAGATACCTGAAGCGCGCGCGATATAATATGCCTCGACAGCAGTGACATCTTACGAGAGATAGTAAATGCAACGACGTCGAATTATCACAATTTCGATTATGCTTTTCCAATTTTTCGATAAAACGAACACAAAGGACAGAAAATCTCGAGCCGGGTCGATCCATAACGCAAACAGAGGAAACAGTACGATTATTCACATTCGTACAAAAATAGTCGATATTCACCGGCATTAGATTGTCGTTATTCACGAAAGAATCGATACTGCAGGAATAAAAGCATAGAAAGGGATAGCGGGCGATAAAGTGGGGAGACGAAAACAGAGGAAGAAACCGAGACGTTAAGTCAAAGCAACGGAAAATAGTTCGGTAGTGAAGGAATGTTTCGAACATAGCACCACGTTATATCCTTATCACTATTCACGTACAAGCTAAAAAACTGTATTTACTATGGCAGGTAATCATACACGCGTGCACATGTGACTCGCTCGAAAGGTATGAACTAAAGAAGAACGAGAAGAAAACTCGGTGGATAAATCTGGAAATGGATCACCAGCGATGTGTTGCGACGAATTACCTCCGATTTCCAAGCTTACGCGCTAATTGATAGTTCGCGAATGACCAATTGATTGACTGGAACCCGGGACTGCGCTCTATGGGTAACAATGCACACGCGTGTATACGCACTTACAGAAACGTTTACCGATATGCGCGTATACGTGAGAACACGCGTATATGTACTTCGTTTCTACATAAGTAGGCGTAACGTAGCCAGTACGACGCCCGTGGCTGTTAACGTGGCTGTTATTGCGTAACGCACTATAGTTGAGCTACCGTCGGCCGTCCCTACCATACGAACCGACCACCCTATGGTTAGGTAAATCACGACCGAGAGGAAAGGGTCGTCGGATGCACCTGTACACGTGTGACCATGCGTGCAGACACGCGAATGAGCCGGGTTGCATAAGTGCAGGCGCAGGCTATGCGCGACACCCGCGCTCCCACACGCACACGTGTACACGGTCCTTTAATTTTAATTCGTTAAATAGATCTATGAATTGCGGCACGAGGCACTCGCTTCTTATACAGGGCTCTAGCAGCCGACTTGATGCAGCATCGAGGCGAGCCGGAACACACGCATCCAGGCAAACATCCCCGTCGACGGCGAACGACAGATCGCGCTCCTTGCCGACGTGATCGACAAATTTTTGCACTCCGTCGATGTCGAGTAACGCCGCGCTCCACGATTGGGTGTCGCATCGATCGAGCAGACGTCGCTCTCCGACTTCCTTTCCTTTTGCTGCTGCTGTTGCGGGGAGTACTTCATCACTGAATCATCATTGGAACAATTAATCAGAATGGTGTTTTTGCATGATTTCCCTCCTAATTTCATGAGAGTGACATAACCATGGGAAGGTTAGCGCGTACGTGTATTCATGCAGCAATTCTACATACGCGGAAGCGTCAGGCCAAAGAAGCGTTTCACTCGGCTCAGCTTCGAGCCAGCGCTACGAGTGCTAATTATCATAATATATTCGAGACTCGCTTTCGTTGCGTGTTTATTACCTTCTGAAGCTAATTGGCGGTTCCTCGCGTACACCTGTATCGTTATACGGTTTGTTTGATAATACAAAATTCAATTACGTGTAATTTACGAAACTTGCTTGACGGTTTAGAAATAAACTGAGCGTATCTTTTACTTCGAGATGAATCGATAAGGTAAATTGAAGTGAAAAATCTTTTACATAAAATCTCCTATTTTCACTTATTAGCAATACAATTCAAGAAAAGGAAAGAAGACTTGATGCATGAAGAAAAAATTTCTAAAGAGGTTGTCTATAAAAATTTAATACAATGTTTTATTTGACTGATTCGTATCTAACTATGAATACCCGTAGATATTAGTATACCAATTTTTTTTCTTTTTCTTTTTAATATTTTAATTATTGGTTTAAGTGTACCGATAGAATCAAAATGGAGAGATGCAAGAGGTAAAATATTGTTGGCGTATAATATGATAAAATAAAAGACGCAGAGCTCGATGGTGGACTAACGATTTTATAACCACGGAATGTAAGCCAGTAATATAGCTAAGTAATGAGATTTTCCCGTATGTCACTGCACTACTTTTTTCTCACGGCTAACAGTGAAATTCCTTTCACTAGCAAATCCTCTTTTGTTTAAGAAAGCCGTTTTACGCAACGGTGAGAGTTCCGTGGTCGTGCCAATGGGCTGCACACGCATCAAAACGAAAGAGTTATCAAACCTATTTATTTTACATAACAAAGAAACAGCAAATTACTCTCGGTACAGAAATAACGCAAAGTTTCAAAATCTCGCCACTTTTTACGTAAATGTCATATCAACCTTGACTATGTTTATTCGCGCTAAACTCTCACTCGGTCATGGTCAAAGACCCATTACGTATGCATTGCAAAGTACGCTGATAGAACAGTCGAACAATACACGGGCGACGTTAAAATTTAACACCCTCTGCCGATAAACGAGGGAACTAAACAACAAAATGGGGGAAGAAAATTCAGCGATGCAAGTAGCACGGGTATAACGAAGTTTTATTTTTCAATTAAAACTTTTATCTGTTGCATAATGTACACCTTCGGTTTTACTCTAGCTGTTTCGCCGTTAAAGCAGGAAGCATAACTCGTTTGAGTACGATGAGTATGGTATATAAGCTGGTATATAAATCAAACATGCATGGCCTATATTTCTAAATATAAAATATCTAGTCTATAGGTGTATGATGTGTAACGTACGTGCATGACGTATAATCAGCGATTGATTAAGCGAAAAGTTTTTGTAGGTTTATCAGTATTCGCGTTTCGTGGACTCCCTCTTTCCGGGATACCGAGAGTAGGTGTATAGTGGGCGTTTCAAATGTGTTCTGCTTTTAGTGAAGCGCACGCGCCTCTTTCGGTCAGCTGATTCCCTAGACCTACTTTTTGCCCGATGATGCAGGCTACAAATAGGTATAGTCATGAACGCTCGTCTGTGTAAATGAGCGTGTGTGTACTTCTTGTTCTGCTGTACACGTATGTGTACCTACATACTTTAGGAAACACTGTATGCCCTAAATCATGCTCTTTGCTCGAGGCCATTCTCAGCCACTCGGAAGACTCAAAGTATAAAATGCGCTTTGTTCTGCAATCGTGAAGCTTTTCGTACATTGCCTACACTTTTACCAATTATTTCGCTGAAATTTAATTCCAATTCTAATTGCTTGGAAATTGATTGAGAATAATTTATAGGATAAACGAGGAAATATTAAAAGAGATAAATAAATAAATAAACAACGCAATTTTCCAGTCGCAATTTAGGCTACGCGGAATGAAAGCTTAATGATATTATTTACGAACACGAATCAAAACTTTGACTGATAATAAATGAAATAAAACGGATAGTATGTGGAGAAGGTATTTTTTCGACTGTCACGAAGTATACGACTTGTATCCATGGAGTTGATAAAGTACAAATCACGATACATTTACATCGTGGTATTTGAAAGAGACCGTTACATGGGTGAATAAATCGTTGGAAACTTTTTCGAAACTCTGTGTGGACAAGTCACGCAATGGTCACGGCTCTAATGTTTTGATAAAGGATAGATGATTGATGCAAAAGCTGGAGATGGAACCCGCAAAAAAATTAGCATGGAAACACATCGAGATTATTTTGCAATGCTTGCATATTTGGAAGAGTCCAAGGAAGCTTTTCGATGAACCATATTCGCATGTGCTTTGTGATATGCGCGCGCGATCATTCTGCACGATAATTTTTCAGAACTGACTTCGTGTATCCTATGTAAAAGCGCGGCAATTTAGTTGTCACTGTCAACGCTATACGTTCTCACGGTATAACATACAGCATACACAAAGAATCGCGGGTATGAGATATTGTATTCTAAGATAATAAATGATAGCACAAACTATTAACTATTTAAGGTTTAATGCGTACATAAATTTGACACATACCTGTGTGAGTTTTATTCAATTCCTAATTCCCCACGAGGAGGTAAACGCGAAAACAGCTTTACTTTGCTGCAAACCGTTCTACACTGGTTCGAGGCGCTTCGTGCAGTGTTCTGCGGAGCACAACGAGGTGCATTCGTGCGACAAGAGGCAGTGACGAGAAGCAAGGAGGAAAGAGAACAAGAGATAGAGAAGTAGAGAGACTCTTTTCTTCTCGCTCTGTTTTGTGCGCTGGATGGAGAAGTGGGTACACGTCGACGCGATCGTTTGGACGATGAAGAGAATTGGTGGGGATGTTCGTCTTCTTGGTTATGTTCTGCAGCGCCGGCGCTGCATCGACCCATCAGCACCTTGCTAGCGATGTGCGTTCGCTTCAACGTGCCTTCAAAGTGGTCTATCTATTGTTCTGTTTTTACGCTTCGTGTTCATATAGATTACTTCGTCTAATAACTCGCCGAAGGCTACTTGATTTTTATCCGCCTACCCGATACTAAAATTGTATAAATGTACCCGCTTACGCATATTAGCCTGTCCATTTTATAAAATACGGCAGCCGCGTAATTCTATTTTAAATAGTGTTCAAAAGACACTAAATAAAAAGCATGACATTTTATTGAGAAAAAAAATTCACATCGAATATATATTGTTTACATTATTGATGACACAAAATATTTTTACTAAAGCTATATTTACATATTCTTTCTTATATAGGTATCCATGTTGAGAATATAAAATTTCTAATAGAAAATAGTTCATGAATGAAAATTTTATTTTTATTTGTACTAACTATAAATTGACTCAATTATATTTGATATTAATCGTATTCATAAATTTATAAAGAACATACCTTTCGTTGATATACCATGTCGAATAAGGAGTTGGTGGTGAAAAAGAAGTAGTTGGCGAATTTGCAGAACTCGTATTTATGGTAGATTTAGAAGATGAAAGCGAAACACCACTTTCCACAGAACACGGGGAATGATGATCTTTATTAGACGAGGATAAATGCCACGAATATCTCCCTTTTACGCACGAACTACAATAACCAGGACTCGAACTTGGAGAACTCGAAACACTTAGTGGGCTTGAACATTTTGGAGTCTTTAAAGTTCCAGAACTAAATACTCGAACCAATCTCAATCTTAAAGAATTCTCTTTACTTTTCC